CGTGTCTCCGAGCTGGCCAGGTTGTATAATAAACCCCAGTCAACAATCGCTACTATTGTGGGCAACAAAAAGGCAATCAAGGAAGCTGTTCTTGCCAAAGGTTCAACTGTGTTTTCGAAACAGAGATCACAAGTGATGGAAGATGTTGAGAGACTCTTATTGGTGTGGATAAATGAAAAACAGATAGCAGGAGATTGCATCTCTCAAGTGATCATAAGTGAAAAGGCTAGGAAGTTGCATCAGGATTTAATTAAAAAAAATGCCTGCAACTAGTGATGATGTGAGTGAATTAAGGCCAGCAAAGGTTGGTTTGAGAGATTTAAGAAGCGTAGTGGCATACATAGTGTGATAAGGCATGGTGAGGCTGCCAGTTCGGACCACAAAGCAGCTGAAAAATATGTGCAGGAATTCATGGAGTACATAGACAGTGAAGGACTGAAACCTGAACAAGTGTTTAATTGTGATGAAACAGGCCTGTTTGGAAGAAAATGCCCAAACAGGACCTACATTACTCAGGAGGAAAAGGCACTCCCAGGACATAAGCCTATGAAAGACAGGCTTACTGTTGATGTGTTCCAATGCTAGTGGTGATTGCAAAGTGAAGCCTTTATTAGTGTATCACTCAGAAACTCCCAGAGCGTTCAGGCAAAAGAATATCCTCAAGGCTAATTTGTGTGTGCTGTGGAGGGCAAACAGTAAGGCATGGGTCACTAGGGACTTTTTCTATGACTGTTACACCATGCTTTGCCCCCAATGTGAAAGATTACCTAACTGAAAAGAAATTAGACCTTAAGTGCCTCCTGGTGTCAGACAATGCCCCTGGTCATCCTACAGACGTGGCAGAGCGACTTTATTGGGACATGAGCTTCATTAAGGTGAAGTTTTTGCCTCCTAATACCACTCCTCTCCTGCAGCCCATGGACCAGCAGGTTATTGCAAACTTCAAAAAACTGTATACAAAAGCTCTGTTTGAAAGGCGCTTTGTAGTGACCTCAGAAACTCGACTGACTCTAAGAGAGTTTTGGAGAGATCACTTTAATATCCTCAATTGTGTAAACCTTATAGGTAAGGCTTGGGAGGAAGTGACTAAGAGGACCTTGAACTCTGCTTGGAAGAAACTGTGGCCAGAATGTGTAGACCAAAGGGATTTTGAAGGATTTGAGACTAACCCTGAGAGGAGTATGCCAGTTGAGGAATCAATTGTGGCATTGGGGAAGTCCTTGGGGTTGGAGGTTAGTGGGGAGGATGTGGAAGAGTTGGTGGAGGAGGACAATGAAGAACTAACCACTGATGAGCTGCTAGATCAACTTCAACAGCAAGAGGCCAGACCTGAGGAAACTGGTTCGGAGGAGGGGAGAGAGAAATTGAAGAAGTTGCCTACTACAAAGATTAAGGAAAGTGCAATGTGGCTGAAAGTGCAAACCTTTATGGATGAAAATCACCCTCACACAGCTATTGCAAGCCGTGCTGGTGACTATTACACTGACAATGTTGTGAAACACTTTAGGGAAGTCATAAAGGAACGAGAGGTACAGGCCACTATGGACAGATATGTTGTGCGACAAAAGTCCAGTGACTCTGAAGCTGGTCCTAGTGGCATTAAAAGAAGGGAATAAACCCCAGAAAAGGACTTGACACCTCAAGTCTTAATGGAAGGGGATTCCCCTTCTAAACACTAAGACTCTCTCCTCCTCCCATCCCATCAATCATCACCAGATCTTCAATAAAAGTAAGTGTCATGTAATTGTGCATGCCTTTTTCAGTTTGTGTGTATTAAAATTAATATTTCATGTGGTAAAAATGTTTTTTTTTTCATACTTTGGGGTGTCTTGCACGGATTAATTTGATTTCCATTATTTCTTATGGGGAAAATTCATCCGCAGAACGATAATTTCGCATAACAATGAGCTCTCATGAACGGATTAATATCGTTATGCGGGGGTCCACTGTATATACATTATATACAGTATTGGTCTCTCAGGCCCCAAATGTTAGTAGGAATAGAAAAAAATTGAAAAAGAAAAGAAAACTATAAAAACCACAAAATAATGTAATGCGCGTATGTAGAATTCGTCGATGTTGCCGCCACCACATCATTTTTGACAAACTTCTTGGCACTGTATCTCGGTAAGTACTGATCAGAATTTTTTTTTTTTGTCTTATTACCTTCACAAAACTATGCTCTTTAATTCTGTAAGAAAAAATAATTTTTTTGTTTTTTTCAAAATTTCTTGGACACTGGAGCACCACTTCAGATTTTGGCCTTGGACCCTGAAGGGGTTAATGGTGTAAGGCGATTGGTCATAGTAGATCCCCAAGAGCAAATATCATAGGTGAAGGAAGGGTACATTAGAGTGTGGTATAGTATAATTTTTGTGCACAATTTGAAGAATTTAGGGAAAAACTATCATTAATTAATTTTGCACTAAATCAAAATTTGCACTATTTCAACTCGCTACTCAAGACCTGGCCACATTTCTCTTTACCATTCAGTATTTCAAGACATTTCCATGGAAATTTTTTTCGAGTCTTAAGGCAGCCGATTTTACTGTTTCAGTCAAATTTGCTTTAATTTTTCTTGGCCTATTAACCAACCTCACCAGCACTATACTGTACTTCATTCTGTATATTTTTTTTTCTTGCAATCTTTCTCATCCACTACATTAAAATATCTCTTCACCCATTCAATATCACCCTTAAGCCTTTGACTGTCGCAAGCCCCTTTCTGAAACTGTCATTCTATGTCGCAAAATGTTTGAAAAAAAAAAAAAAATTTATCAAATGATAGAGAATCCTTTCCCGATGCAAATGACACTAAAATTAAAAAATTTGATCGAAAACTTACAGAATTACGCTCCCGTGAAGTTAGCGATCTCGGCGATATATACATATTGGCAATTTCGCTGACTTTAGAGCCCTATTTTCGGCCAATTCCATTGTTCCAGTCGACCAAACTCATAGCAATTTATCTAGAACTCCATTTTTTCTATCAACTGAGTACAAGAAACTGCCCATTTACCAATTTTAACTACCCAATAAAGTGGTCAGAATCTGGCAATTTGGCCGATTTTACACAAATTAAAAAAGATGCCAATTTCAAAATAGGGTCCAGAATAAACAATGCAGACATTCTTGGCACTAAAATAACATCCTCTGTTCATTAGTCACATCTCCAGGCCCCTCTTATATTACTCTTGCTTTCTATTTTGATTTTTTATTCACACAAAAAATAGAAGATTTACTGTTATGCAGACTACTGCAATATTGTAAAAATGGTATAAATAACATCAGTGCACTAGTGAAAAAATATTAGACTTCCCAGTTGACGTGTATTGGACGTGTGGTGTGATTTGTTTACTTTTGAACATTGGTAAAAATCGAACATTTCCACTACTTTGAGCTCAATTTCAAGGTCGTTTTTGTTGTGAAACTAATCAAAATCACCACTATTTGTTTTCCAATCTATCAAATGACACCATGAAAACGAGAATACAACAATAAATACATACTATACGAAAATACACCTCAAAGTTGTCATTATAATTCAAAAAGTCAGAATTTTTTTTCTCATTATGCATTGCATGCTGCAGGATTTTTTTTTATACAGTGCACACTGACCACACAGACCCATTCTCTCACATGTGGGCCTACCAGCTTTCTCCTGTTTGATTTGAAGCCACTAGAATTGTTGAGTATATATACGTCTGAAACGCTGGCTCGTAAGACGTATATACATGGTCGAAACAGTCAAAGGGTTAATGATAAAAAGACCTAACCCTCTAAACCTGTGAGGGATCATACGGAAACGAGGGAATGGGAGGCAATATGGTTTGGACCCAGGTAATGGAGGGTAGCTCCAATTCCTTGGATCAAATATATTTCACTAGCATTAACCCTTTCAGGTTCGAGAGGCCCTCTCCTAAAACTTCTCAGGGTTGAAAATTTTTCGGGAAAAAAAAAAAAATTATTTTGTCTAATGAAATGATAGAGAATCTTTTCCTGATCATAATGACACCAAAAGTATGAAATTTGATGGAAAACTTACAGAATTATGCTCGTGCGAAGTTAGCAGTCTTGCCGATGTTTACGCATCAGCGATTCCGCCCACTTTGAGCCCTACTTTTGGCCAATTCCTGTTTACTAATCAACAAAAATCATATTTATTTTGCTACAACTTCATTTTTTCTATCGAATGAGTACAAGAAACCACCCATTTACCAATTTCAACTACCCAATAGTGGTCAGAAATTGGCAATTTTGCCAATTTCACACAAATTTCAGAAGATGCCAATTTCAAAATAGGGTCCAGAATAAACAAGAAAGACATTCCTGGCATTAAAATAACAAGTTCTCTGTTCGTTAGTCATGTCCCCAGGCCCCTCTTATATTTCTTTTGCTTTCCACTTCGAATTTTTATTCTTACAAAAAAAATAGAAGACTTACTGTTATGCAGACTACTGCATTAGTGTAGAAATGGTATAAATAATATCAGCGCACTTGTGAAAGAATATTAGACTCTCTAGTTGACATGTACTGGAAGCTTGACACAATTTGTTTACTTTTGACCTTCGGTAAAAATCGAAAATTTCTGTTACTTTGAGCTCAATTTCAAGGTTCTTTTCATTGTGAAATCAGTCAAAATCATCTCAATTTCTGTAATACTTCTTCCATTCTATAAATTGAGACCAGGAAAACTAGAATACGTACAACCATAAATACCATGCGAAAATACAGTGCAAAGTCGCTGTTCTAATCCAAAAACACGGTCAAAGATTTTTTTTTTCTCATTACGCACACTGACCACATAGACCCATTCTTTCATGTGTAGGCCTACCAGCATTCTCTCGCTAGATTTGAAGGCGCTAGAATTTAGGTGTACTAGTACGTCAATAATCCTGGCGAGTAAGCCATACTAGTACGTCGAAAACCCTGAAAGGGTTAAGGCACCCTCTATTGACTGTAAAGGTAACACTCACAGAAAGAAAAAGTCACTGACTCACCTGCAAACAATGGAAGGCTAACCCTGGGCCTGTATAAAGCTTCTTTTGACAATTGCCGCACTTGAAGTGTCTGGCTCGCTGATGTAGTATTAAAACCCTTTCATCGTCGAAGTCACGGGTGCAGTACCTAGGATAGCATGTAAGCAAGTTTATTTTGGTACAACTGCACAATTTTTGGATGTACACAATTGCCTTGCAAAATAACATGCACACAATTGCCTTGCGAAACACATGAATTACCTCGGATAAACAAAAAAAAAAGTCAAACAAAATGACTTGCTATAAATGATGCGGATGGGTCTATGAAAGATGAGGTGAATCATAGAATTGATGAGGGGAAAAGAGTGAGTGGTGCACTTAGGAGTCTGTGGAGACAAAGAACTTTGTCCTTGGAGGCAAAGAGGGGAATGTATGAGAGTATAGTTTTACCAACGCTCTTATATGGGTGTGAAGCATGGGTGATGAATGTTGCAGCGAGGAGAAGGCTGGAGGCAGTGGAGTTGTCATGTCTGAGGGCAATGTGTGGTGTGAATATAATGCAGAGAATTCGTAGTTTGGAAGTTAGGAGGAGGTGCGGGATTACCAAAACTGTTGTCCAGAGGGCTGAGGAAGGGTTGCTGAGGTGGTTCGGACATGTACAGAGAATGGAGCGAAACAGAGTGACTTCAAGAGTGTATCAGTCTGTAGTGGAAGGAAGGCGGGGTAGGGGTCGGCCTAGGAAAGGTTGGAGGGAGGGGGTAAAGGAGGTTTTGTGTGCGAGGGGCTTGGACTTCCAGCAGGCATGCGTGAGCGTGTTTGATAGGAGTGAATGGAGACAAATGGTTTTTAATACTTGACGTGCTGTTGGAGTGTGAGCAAAGTAACATTTATGAAGGGGTTCAGGGAATCCGGCAGGCCGGACTCGAGTCCTGGAGATGGGAAGTAGAGTGCCTGCACTCTGAAGGAGGGGTGTTAATGCTGCAGTTTAAAAACTGTAGTGTAAAGCACCCTTCTGCCAAGAGAGTGATGGAGTGAATGATGGTGAAAGTTTTTCTTTTTCGGGCCACCCTGCCTTGGTGGGAATCGGCCAGTGATAAAAAAAAAAAAAAAAAATGAAAACTAAATACCATACTGTATTTTACACATTACGTACATGGCTGAGTGTAAGGTTATTTAGGCACAGGTAAACAAGTACAGTTATCATACATAGTGCAAGTTACCTAGGATAACCCAAAAAAGTTAGACAAAGCAACTTATTTCCATTGGGGTTATAAGAGTGTGATGAGAGATATATGATGTGAGCTCAAGTTATTTCCATAACCAGAATTGGTTATTTAAAATACCGAGGCTCCTTTCGAGTGCTAAACACATTAAAAAAAATGCACACAAACACCACACATACTGATACATACATGTGTACAGTACTACCTTAAACATTGTGTTAATGTGCAATATCTTGTGTTAATGCCTAATATCTTACAAATTGTGTAAATGTACAAACTTACCTTACACAATAATTTAAATATTATGTTAATGTATACAGTAGAACCTCAGTTGTCAACCACATTACTTGTTGAACAAATCGATTTTCAAATGAGAAAAATGTCCTGGTTTTCATATGTTCTCTTGGTCATCAACGAACAATGCGAACAGCTCAGGTCACATGCTCACAGAATGGACAAGGAGTCAACAGCATGGGTCTTTGTTGTTGTGAGATGAGCCACAATGGGTCCAAAGAGATGAAAGCGAAAAGAAAAGAAGTAAAATGCAAGGGGAGTTCTGGAAGGATCATTTCAATATCCTCACCTGCTTGAGGCTGACAGACAAAGCCTGGGGGAGTGTGTCTTCCTGGACCATGCAGTCAGCATGGAAGAAATTGTGGCCTGACTTTGTAGCAGCCAGGGATTTTGAAGACTTTGAAGATGAGCCTGAGCTGGTAGAGGATATTGTGACCCTGGGGAAGACCTTGAGCCTAGAGGTGACTGAAGATGATGCAGAGGAGTTGGCAGGAGAATAGAACAGAACTCACCACAGAACAGCTTGCAGGCCTTCTGAATGAGCAGCAACAGACTGCAGCAGAGGAGCTGTCATCAGAGGAAGCGGGAAGGGATAATGTGCCCTCCGTACTTGTAAAGGAATGTGTGATAAATGGCGTGCTTTCAGCATTTTATGGAGAGGGAACATGGACACAGGGGTCATCCCCCCCCCCACACACACACTAAAAACATATATAGCCCCACTCCACTGACAAATAGAACACAAAGAGTAATAGTAAACAGAGTAAAGTCCAAGGCAGCCACGGTAAAAAACTTAGTTCCACAAGGCACAGTACTTGATCCCATTCTACTCATCCTCATTTCTGACAGAGATGTAAGCCATTGCTCCGTGTCTTCCTTTGCGAACGACACCCAGATTACCATGGCAGTGACCTCCATTGAAGACACCGAGAGACTCCAAGCGAACATCAACCAAATCTTCGAATGGGCCACTCAAAACAATATGAAGTTCAACGAGGAGAAATTTCAACTATTTAGACATGGAAAACTCGAAATTAAAAATGTGTCAGGGTATACGACAAATTCTAACCACACAATAGAGCGGAAAAGTAATGTGAAGGACCTGGGAGTGATAATGTTAGAGGATCTCGCCTTCAAAGCCCACAACAATGTACCTACCTCATCTGCTAGAAATGATAGGATGGATAATGAGAACTTTCAAGACTAGGGATGCCAAGCCCATGACGATTCTCTTCAAATCGCTTGTGCTCTCTAGGCTGGAATACTGCTGTACAGTAAAGGCCCCCTTCACGGCTGGCAACATTGCAGACCTGGAGTGTACAAAGAACTTTCACGGCACACACAAGTACGATAAGGCACGTAAATTACTGGGAACAGTTGAAGGTCCTTGATCTGTATTCCCTGGAATGCAGGCGAGAGAGATGCGTGATAATACACACTGGGAAGGTCCTGGAGGGATTGGCACCAAACCTACACACGAAAATCACTCCACTCCCTATGAAAGCAAAAGACTCAGCAGGAGATGCAACACTCCCTTGGTGAAAAGCAGGGGCGCCACGAGTACATTGAGAGAGAACACAACGAGTGTCCGGGGCCCCTGACTGTTCAATTGCCTCCCAGCATACATAAGAGGGATTACCAACAGACCCCTGGCTGTCTTCAAGAAGGCGCTGGACAGGTACCTAAAGTCAGTACCTGACCAACCGGGCTGTGGTTTGTACGTCAGCTTGCATGCAACCAGCAGTAACAGCCTGGCTGATCAGACCCAGATCCACCACAAGGCCTGGTCTCAGGCCTGGCCGCAGGGGCGTTGACCCCCCGAAACCCTCTCCATGTAAACTCCAGGCAAGTGCAGGAGTTTGCTGAAAAATAGCATCCAGACAAAGCAGTGGCCATCAGTCTCTCTAACATGTACAATGACAGTGTAATGTCTCAATTCTGACAAGTGTTAAAACGGAGCCTGAAACCAAACATCACTGGACAAGTTTTTAGCGAGACAAAGAACCAGTGAGCCAGAACAAGGTATTAGTGGTGAAAAGAGTCAAAGAGAAACAACACGAGGACAGTTGCCTGACATATTAAATGGGGACTCTCCTTCCAAGCAGTAACATACCCCCTCCTCTCCTCTACCTTCTGCTTCCAGTATGCCATTAGCTCTCCTAACAGGAAAGGGGCAGTTAAATTTCATTTATTGTATAGTATTTCAGTTAAAGGTTTCTATTAGTAATCATTTTTAGTTTTATGTGGTAGTACATTTTAATAAATTATTATATTGTCATATTGGGTCTAGATTATTATTATTATAATCAAGGGGGAAGCGCTAAACCCGTAGGATTATACAGCGCCCAGGGGGGGATGTGGAAGGCATTCAGGCTTAATTCGGGGAACTGGAGCACAGATTCAATTCCCTAAATCAAGAGCCCCTCACCAACATCAAGGAACCTTCCATGAGGGGTATTGGGTCTAGAATGGATTAATTCTATTTATGTTATTCTTTAGGGGAAAAATCGTTTAGGTTGTCGAATCGACGTCTGGAACAAATTAAGTTCGACAACCAAGGTTCCACTGTAATCCTAATAATAAACCTAATAACAATAATAGGGTCAGCCAGCCTTGGTGGGAAATGGCCGATGTGTTAAATATAATAATAATCTTAACATCTACGTGTACAAGGTATACAGGCCTAGCTGATATCACTGACATACTGCTATATATAAAGCCCCTTATTATGCAGAGCATTTTGGGCAAAGTCAATTTTGTCCACAACTCCCTCCAGGTAAACTCCAGGTAAGGCTGTAACCCACACCAGTCTACTAACACCCAGGTACCTATTTTAGTGCTAGGTGAACATGGACACCAGGTGTCTTAAGGAAACACATCCTAATATTTCCACCTGTACTGGGGATCGACCCCGGGACCTCGGTGTGTGAACTAAGTGTGCTACCACCGTTGTATTAGTGTAAACGTATAATACCATCTTAAACATTGTTACTGAAGAATACTATCTTAAACATTGTGATAATGAAAAATATTTATACTGAACAATGTATTAATGTTTTACAGTATACTATATCAATTAATGTCTATAGTTATAATATTGTATTCAGGGGAAGCACTAAAGCCGTATGGGATCAAAAGGGGATAAAACTTTTTGGTATTATTATTATTATTATTTTAAATAAAGGGGGGAAGCGCAAACCGGAGGTTTATACAGGAAATGTTGGTAGTTATCCTGAATTTTTTTAAATCTTGGGAAGCACTAAGCCGAGGGATCACACACACAGGAGGGAATGAAAGACAATGGGGGTCGTGGGGAGGTCAAGATAAGGTTAGATACATCCAATGCCTTGGATCAGGTGCCTACCTTGAAGTTATCGTAAAAAAAATTCACTTATAATGATCGACCAAAAAGGCTACATTCATGGGGGAGGCGCTAAACCTACATGGGCCATATAGGAGGTAATAAAGTTCAGATCCGAGGAAATGGAGGAGTAGATCAAGTTCCCGGGATCAAGAGCCCCCCCTTGAAGTCAGCGTAAATAAATCTGAACGTTATCTTACGCTATCGATCGACCCAAGAGATCACATTCATGGAGGGGAGGCGCTAAACCTGCACGGGCCACAACACTCCCACGGAATGGGAGGTAACAAACTTCAGATCCGAGGAAATGGAGAAGGGGTAAATCAAGTTCCCGGGATCAAGAGCCCCCTCCCCTAACAAGCATCAAGACACCGCCAGTAACCCCCCCCCCCCCCATCATAACCAGCGCCATAATTCAAGCACTTATTAACCCTCCCCATAACCCCCCTGACCCCCCCCACCATGAACTCACACAACCCAAGGCTTTGGTCTGTGGGCTTCTTCCTGGTCCCATAATGGTTGAAAAATGGTGTTGGAGCGAGGAGGGAGGTGAGTGAGGCTGAGTGAACAACTACCAGCCGCCGCAAGATGGCGACACCCAACATTAAACCACCGCCATATTTAAACAAGTATTTCAACCATTGACCGGTTTTAAGTTATTATTTGTAAATAAACTTGTCCAGTGGGTTCAGCTATGGGTGGGGGAGATGTTTTAACACTCATATGAGTGGTGGAGATGGTTTAACACTCAAATGGGGGGAAATGGTGGTTTAAGGCCAAATGAGTAAGGGGATGGTTTAACACCACATGAGTGGTGGGTGGTTTAACCCACGTGAGTGTTGGGGATGGTTTTAAAACTCACTTTGTGTTGGGGATGGTTTTAACACTCACGTGAGTGTTGGGGATGGTTTAACACTAAACATAGTGTGGGAAAGGTTAACACTCACATGAGTGTTGGGGATGGTTTAACACTCACGTGAGTGTTGGGGATGGTTTAACACTCACATGAGTGTTGGGGATGGTTTAACACTCACGTGAGTGTTGGGGATGGTTTAACACCCCGGGTGAGTGTTGGGGAGGGTTTAAAAACACTCAATTTTGATGTTGGGGATGGTTTAACACCCCAACGAGTGTTGGGGATGGTTTAACACTCACATGAGGTTGGGGAGGGGATTTAACACTCACGTGAGTGTTTGGGATGGTTAAACTCACATGATGTTGGGGATGGTTAACACTCACATGGGGTTTTGGGGAGGTTTAACACTCACATGAGTGTTGGGGATGGTTAACACTCACATGAAGTGTTGGGCAGGGTTTTAAAAAACTAACGTAGTGTTGGGGATGGTTTAACACTCACTTTGAGTGTTGGGGATGGTTTAAACACTCACGTGATTTTGGGGGATGGTTTAAACACTCACATGAGTGTTGGGGATGGTTTAACACTCACGTGAGTGTTGGGGAAGATTTAACATTCACGTGAGTGTTGGGGAGTTTAAACCACTCACGTGAGTGTTGGGGAGGGTTTAAACATCACGTAGGTTGGGGATGGTTTTAACACTCCCCATGATGTTGGGATGGTTTAACACACGTGAGTGTTGGGATGGTTTTAAACACTCACAGAGTGTTGGGGATGTTAACACTCACATGAGTGTTGGGGATGTTTAACACTCACATGATTTGGGAGGTTAAACACTCAACATAGTGTTGGGGAGGTTTAACACTCACATGAGTTTTGGGGGAGGGTTTTTAAACACTCAATGAGTGTTGGGGATGGTTTAACACTCACGGAGGGGTTGGGGATGGTTTAACACTCACATGAGTGTTGGGGATGGTTTAACACTCACGTGAGTGTTGGGGATGGTTTAACACTCACATGAGTGTTGGGGATGGTTTAACACTCACATGAGTGTGGGGATGGTTTAACACCACAAAAAAGTGTTGGGGATGGTTTAACACTCACATGAGTGTTGGGGATGGTTTAACACTCACATGAGTGTTGGGGATGGTTTAACACTCACGTGAGTGTTGGGGATGGTTTAACACTCACATGAGTGTTGGGGATGGTTTAACACTCACGTGAGTGTTGGGGATGGTTTAACACTCACATGAGTGTTGGGGATGGTTTAACACTCACATGAGTGTTGGGGATGGTTTAACACTCACATGAGTGTTGGGGATGGTTTAACACTCACGTGAGTGTTGGGGATGGTTTAACACTCACGTGAGTGTTGGGGATGGTTTAACACTCACATGGGTGGTATACGGTGGTTTAACACATAGTTAACAGTGTAGTACTGGTACTAAATTACCAGTACCACAGTACCAGTACAACACTATCAGCACTACACTACCAGTACAACACTACCAGTACAACACTACCAGTACAACACTACCAGTACAACACTACCAGTACTACACTACCAGTACAACACTACCAGTACAACACTACCAGTACCACACTATCAGCACTACACTACCAGTACAACACTACCAGTACTACACTACCAGTACAACACTATCAGCACTACACTACCAGTACAACACTACCAGTACTACACTACCAGTACAACACTACCAGTTCTACACTACCAGTACAACGCTACCACTACCACTACCTGTTGTCCTGTTCACCTAGCAGCAAATAGGTACATGGGTGTTAGTCGACTGGTGTGGGTCGCATCCTGGGGGACAAGATTAAGGACCCCAATGGAAATAAGTTAGACAGTCCTCGATGACGCACTGACTTTCTTGGGTTATCCTGGGTGGCTAACCCTCCGGGTTATCTTATCTTATCTTACCAGTACTACACTACCAGTACAACACTACCAGTACAAAACTACCAGTACAACACTACCAGTACCACACTACCAGTACAACACTGCCAGTACCACACTACCAGTACAACACTACCAGTACAACACTACCAGTACAAAACTACAAGTACAACACTACCAGTACCACACTACCAGTACAACACTGCCAGTACCACACTACCAGTACAACACTGCCAGTACCACACTACCAGTACAACACTACCAGTACAACACTACCAGTACAAAACTACAAGTACAACACTACCAGTACAACACTACCAGTACAACACTACCAGTACAACACTACCAGTACCACACTACCAGTACAACACTGCCAGTACCACACTACCAGTACAACACTACCAGTACAACACTACCAGTACAACACTACCAGTACAACACTACCAGTACCACACTACCAGTACAACACTACCAAATACCCCCACTACCAGTACAAAAACAAACCCGTACCACACTACCAGTACAACACTACCAGTACAACACTACGAGTACTACACTACCGGTACAACACTACCAGTACAACACTACCAGTACTGCACTACCAGTACTTCACTACCAGTACAACACTACCAGTACAACACTACCAGTACCACATTACCAGTACTACACTACCAGTACAACACTACCAGTACACTACCAGTACAACACTACCAGTACAACACTACCAGTACAACACTACCAGTACTATACTACCAGTACAACACTACCAGTACAACACTACCAGTACCACACTACCAGTACTACACTACCAGTACAACACTACCAGTACTACACTACCAGTAGAACACTACCAGTACTACACTACCAGTACAACACTACCCGTACCACACTACCAGTACAACACTACCAGTACTACACTACCATTACTACACTACCAGTACAACACAACCAGTACAACACTACTAGTACAACACTACCAGTACAACACTACCAGTACACCACCAGTACACCACCAGTACAACACCAGTACAACACTACCAGTACAACACTACCAGTACAAAACTACCAGTACAACACTACCAGTACAACACTACCAGTACTACACTACCAGTACCACACCAACAGTACAACACTACCAGTACAACACTACCAGTACAACACTACCAGTACAACACTACCAGTACAACACTACCAGTACCACACCACCAGTACACCACCAGTACAACACTACCAGTACAACACTACCAGTACAACAATACCAGTAGAACACTACCAGTACTACACTACCAGTACCACACCACCAGTACAACACTACCAGTACAACACTACCAGTACCACACCACCAGTACAACACTACCAGTACAACACTACCAGTACAACACTACCAGTAGAACACTACCAGTACTACACTACCAGTACCACACCACCAGTACAACACTACCAGTACAACACTACCAGTACAACACTACCAGTACAACACTACCAGTACAACACTACAAGTACAACACTACCAGTACTACACTACCAGTACTACACTACCAGTACAACACTACCCATACCACACTACCAGTACAACACTACCAGTACAACACTACCAGTAGAACACTACCAGTACTACACTACCAGTACTACACTACCAGTACCACACCAGTACAACACTACCAGTACAACACTACCAGTACAACACTACCAGTACTACACTACCAGTACTACACTACCAGTACAACACTACCAGTACCACACTACCAGTACAACACTACCAGTACTACACTACCAGTACTACACTACCATACAACACTACCATAAACCACACTACCAGTAAAAACACTAAACCCGTACTACACTACCAGTACTACACTACCAGTACTACACTACCCGTACTACACTACCAGTACAACACTACCAGTACAACACTACCATACCACACTACCAGTACAACACTACCAGTACAACCACTACCAGTACTACACTACCAGTACAAAAACCCACCAGTACCACACTACCAGTACCCACACTACCAGTACTACACTACCAGTACTACACTACCAGTACTACACTACCAGTACTACACTGCCAGTACCGCACTACCAGTACAACACTACCAGTACCACACTACCAGTACAACACTACCAGTACTACACTACCAGTACTACACTACCAGTACTACACTACCAGTACTACACTACCAGTACAACACTACCAGTACTACACTACCAGTACAACACTACCAGTTACACACTACCAGTACAACACTACCAGTACCACACTACCAATACAACACTACCAGTACCACACCACCAGTACAACACTACCAGTACTACACTACCAGTACAACACTACCAGTACCACACTACCAGTACAACACTACCAGTACAACACTACCAGTACAACACTACCAGTACAACACTACCAGTACACTACCAGTACAACACTACCAGTACAACACTACCAGTACAACACTACCAGTACCACACCACCAGTACAACACTACCAGTACTACACTACCAGTACCACACCAGTACAACACTACCAGTACTACACTACCAGTACAACACTACCAGTACCACACTACCAGTACAACACTACCAGTACAACACTACCCGTAACAACACTACCAGTACAACACTAGCAGTACAACACTACCAGTACACTACCAGTACAACACTACCAGTACAACACTACCAGTACCACACTACCAGTACAACACTACCAGTACAACACTAGCAGTACAACACTAGCAGTACAACACTACCAGTACAACACTACCAGTACACTAAAAGTACACCACTACCAGTACAACACTACCAGTACCATACTACCAGTACAACACTACCAGTACTACACTACCAGTACCACACTACCAGTACAACACTACCAGTACAACACTAGCAGTACAACACTACCAGTACACTACCAGTACAACACTAGCACTACAACACTACCAGTGCAACACTAGCAGTACAACACTACCAGTACACTACCAGTACAACACTAGCAGTACAACACTACCAGTACACTACCAGTACAACACTAGCAGTACAACACTACCAGTACAACACTACCAGTACACTACCAGTACAACACTACCAGTACACTACCAGTACAACACTACCAGTACTACACTACCAGTACCACACTACCAGAACTACACTCCAGTACAACACTACCAGTACCACACTACCAGTACAACACTACCAGTACAACACTACCAGTACTACACTACCAGTACAACACTACCAGTACAACACTACCAGTACCACACTACCAGTACAACACTACCAGTACTACACTACCAGTACAACACTACCATACAACACTACCAGTAAAACACTACCAGTACTACACTACCATGCCACCCTACCAGTACAACACTACCAGTACAACACTCCAGTACTAAAACTACCAGTACCACACTACCAGTACAACACTACCAGTAAACTACCAGTACAACACTACCAGTACAACACTACCAGTACTACACTACCAGTACAACACTACCAGTAAACTACCAGTACAACACTACCAGTACAACACTACCAGTACTACACTACCAGTACCACACTACCAGTACAACACTACCAGTACAACACTACCAGTACACTACCAGTACAACACTACCAGTACAACACTACCAGTACTACACTACCAGTACAACACTACCAGTAAACTAAACCCGTAACACACCCGACACACACCAGTACAACACTACCAGTACACACTACCAAATACAACACTACATACAACACTACCAGTACTACCTACCAGTAAACACTACCAGTAACACTACCAGTACCACTACCAGTACTACACTACCAGTACCACACACCAGTACAAAACTACCCGTACAACACTACCAGTACAACACTACCATACTCACTACAGTACAACATACCCTACAACACTACCAGTACTACACAACCAGTCCACACTACCAGTACACTACCAGTACAACACTACCAGTACTACACTACCAGTACTACACTACCAGTACTACACTACCAGTACTACACTACCAGTACAACACTACCAGTACTACACTACCAGTACTACACTACCAGTACTACACTACCAGTACTACACTACCAGTACTACACTACCAGTACAACACTACCAGTACTACACTACCAGTACTACACTACCAGTACTACACTACCAGTACAACACTACCAGTACCACACTACCAGTACAACACTACCAGTACAACACTACCAGTACAACACTAACAGTACAACACTACCAGTACCACACTACCAGTACAACACTACCAGTACAACACTACCAGTACAACACTACCAGTACTACACTACCAGTACAAACATACCAGTACTACACTACCAGTACAACACTACCCGTACAACACTAAACCCGTACTACACTACCATACCAACACTACCAGTACACTACCAGTAAAAAACACTACCAGTACTACACTACCAGTACTACACTACCAGTACTACACTACCAGTACAACACTACCAGTACCACACTACCAGTACAATTATCATTCATATTAACGTACGTGTAAATAACAAAGGATAATTGAAATAACGTCAAATTGAATTATTTGCTTTAGTAACAGATCTTAAAATATCCTGACTGGTGGTAAATTTAATAAATATAGTTATTATTGTGTATTCTGTAAAAACTTATAATATAATTAAGGTTGCACTGACGCTGATGAATTTTATTTTATTAATAACAAAAATCGTCTTTAGTAATTTTTTTGAAAACTTGAGGAAGTAGACAAACATGCCTTCCACTCTGATTTTTATACTTTATAATAATTTAAAAAAAATAATAATAATAATAAAATAATAATATCTTTATATACTACATACATGTACCCAAAAAAGGAAAATAGCATCGAAACAAGCCTAACCCTTTTAGGGTTGGTAGGTGCCTGACCCGAGCCTTTAGCTCATAAAATGTCATCCCATTTCTCCCTTGGGAGGGGATGGCAGACCAGAGAGCCTAGCTTGTGCCTAGGCCTGGGACAGTTGGGCCCAAGATGAGGAGGTATTGTATCTCCTCCCAGGGAACTTAGGTCTCAGACACTCCCTAAAGAGGGAGCCAGGCCGGGCCCCACTTGGAAAAGGCCCGGCCGGGAGAAAAAACCGGCGAATCTTTAATAATTATTAATAATAATAAGGTATATAGGTCTAGCTGACATTATGACATAAGCTAATGAAAGGCTGTTTGCCCAGCTGAACATTCTGGCAAATTAGGTCAGTTTTGTCCCAGGTATGACCCCAACCAGTCCACTAACACCCAGGATGTGACCCACACCAGTCCCTACACCCAGATGTGACCAAACCATCACTAAACCAGGATGGACCCACCCTCCACTAACATCCAGGATGTGACCCACCAGTCCACTTTAAACCCAGGATGCGAAACCCCCACCAGTCCACTAAAATCCAGATGTGACCCCACCAGTCACTAACACCCCGGATGCGACCCACACCAGTCCACTAACACCCAGGATTTCCCACCAGTCCACTAACACCCAAAGGGTGCGACCACACCAGTCCACTAACACCAGGAGTGACCCACACCAATCCACTAAACACCCAGGAATGGACCCACACCAGTCACTAACATCCAGGATGTAAACCCACACAGCCACTAAACACCCAGATGCGACCCACACCAGTCCACTAACATCCAGATGTGACCCACACCAGTCCACTAAAAACCCAGGATGCGACCCACACCAGTCCACTAACACCCAGGATGCGACCCACACCAGTCCACTAACACCCAGGATGCGACCCACACAGTCCACTAACACCCAGGATGTGGGCCCCACCATCCACTAACACCCAGGAATGGACCCCACCAGTCCACTAACCCCAGGATGTGACCCACACCCGTCCACTAACACCCCCGGATGCGACCCACACCAGTCCACTAACACCCAGGATGTGACCCACACCAGTCCACTAACACCCAGGATGTGACTTCCACTAACACCAGGATGTGACCCACACCAGTCACTAACACCCAGAGGGGATATTGCAGACGTTTCTCACTCGCTTGCCTCCTCTCCACCTTTGGCACTCTGGGTGACTCGCGGTATAGCTCTCTATGTCCCGGCTCTCGCTGCTCATCGCACCTCACACGCTCTGCAAGATAGAAACCTATTAATATATCTGATTCTCCCCCCCTCTCTCACTCGCCAACTGATGTGACCCACACCAGTCCACTTAACACTATGGATCTAGTAGTTTTTGCGTAGACTTCCTCGACAGAGAGACACTCACCCACGTATCGCTATATATATAGTATATACGCCTCCCGAGAGGTAACACCACACCAGGTCCACTTCAACACCCAGGATGCGACCCACACCAGTCCACTAACACCAGGATGTGACCCACACCAGTCCTGTCTCCCCTACTTCAAGATCGTATCGCGCCTTTCAGAGTGATGTCGGCGTTGCTCTTAGAATAGAGCCGCTCTAGTCGTGTGTGGAACTAGATAATGAGGAATGCGACCACACCAGTCCACAACACCGAGGATGTGACCCACACCAGTCCACTAACACCCAGGATGTGACCCACACCAGTCCACTAACACCCAGGATGTGACCCACACCAGTCCACTAACACCCAGGATGTGACCCACACCAGTTCCACTAAACACCCAGGATGTGACCCAACAGTCACACTAACACCCAGATGGACCCTCCCAGTCTCCACTAACACCCAGGATGTGACCACACCAGTCCACTAACACCCGGTACTTATTATACTGACGGTGAACATGGACAGCAGGTGTAAGGAAATAATTTCAATGTTTCTACCGTCGCCGAGAATCGAACCCGGACATTGCGAAGTAAAGCGAGCGCTTTAGCCACCAGGCCACGCCACACTGTTACTTATGAATAAATAAGTTTATTTAGGTACAAGTACACATAAATACAGTTACATAAATTAGCATTATATAGCAGTATATGTGACATTACCCAGGATGACCCCAAAAAAGTCAAAGTGACTTATTTCCATTGTGGAGTTATGTATATTTTTATCTTTTTTTTTCCAGCGATAAATTACGTCTTTTTATTGATATTAAATATTAAAATGATTCTGCTGATTTTATACTGATATAAGAAATGCTGACTATTTTAGAGAGATTGGAAGTGGTTGAGTGAAGTAGCGGAGAGTTAAAAACAGTTGGTAGTGGACACAAACACTACACATTATACTGACTATATTTAACACTCTTACACCTCTATATGTTGTTGGTCTCAGTTTTAAGCAGTATGGTCTCTGGTTTTGAAGGAGCTTGGAAGGTCAGTTTTCACTCACCCGTTAATGATATTATTTGATGAATTACATTTAAAAAAAATGTTATAATACGATGTTGATCAAGGATGATTCTGTGTGAGAGACAATCATACTAATGTTTCTAAATTAATAAATTCTTTTAAGGCAGAAAAAATTGATGTCCATGAGGGGTTTTGATGCCCGCCAGGATTTGTAACTATCCTCCATTTCCTCGCGATCGAACTGAACTGCCCTCCAGTTCCTTAGACATGCAGGACATCTCTATGGGTTTAGCGCTTCTCCATATTTATTAATAAATTAAATACTGCGAATAAATAATTACGAATAACATTAAAAGAGCTCCACATTACCATCGCTGCTATCTCTATTACTGCTACAGTGAAGAGGCAGGGCCAGAGATGTGACTCGGACCCCTGCAACCAAAACTTATGGCGAGTAATCCTGCTACAGTACTATATTTATATTATAAATATTATATATTATATATATATTTTATATATAATATATATATATATATATATTATACCACTGCTATAGTACAATATATATATATATATTTGTATATATATATATATATATATTTATATATAAATATAAATTGATTTTAAAATACACTGCTACAGTACAATATATATATTTATTTTTTTTATATATTTATATATATATATATATATTTATATATATATATATATATATATATATATATATATACTGCTACAGTACAATATATATGTATATACTGCTACAGTACTGTTATTATAGCAGGCTTTCAGCAGCAACAGCCTGGTTGACCAAGCAAGCACTAGACAACCCTGGCCCATGGCCAGGCTCCGAGAAAGAAAATCCCCAAAAAGAAAATACATTTTATCATCATTCAACACTTTCACCTCATACATAATAACTGTCTTTGTAGAAGCGCTCAGATATGACAGTTTAGACAGTCACTCCAAACTGTCAATATCCCAAACATCTCCTTTAAAGTGCAGGTATTGTACTTCCCATTTCCAGGACTCGGGGCCAGCTAACCGGTTTCCCTAAATTTTACCCTTCACAAAATATTACCCTGCTCACTCCAACAGCTCGTCAGGTTCCAAAAACCATTTGTCTCCATTCAAACTTTCTCTATAAGTATTACAATGCTGAGTTTACAGAATTTGGTTATTGTGTGGTTTACATGTAGTAAAATAATAATTACAGAGTGTAGCACTAGAACGCCTAGCATGGCTAGGCATTTCGGGCACGCTTTCTGGAAATCCAAGCCCCTCGCCCACAAAACCTCCTTTACCCCCTCCCTCCAACGTTTTCTAGGACGACCCCTACTCCGCCTTCCTTTCCCTACAGATTTATACGCTTTCCAAGTCATTCTACTTTGACCCATTCTCTCTAAATGACCAAACCACCTCAACAACCCCTCTTTAGCCCTCTGACTAATACTTTTAGTAACTCCACACCTCCTGCTAATTTCCACACTCCGAATTCTCATTGCCCTTAGAATGGACATCTCCACTGCCTTCAGCTGCCTCCTCGCTGCATTTACAACCCAAGCTTCACACCCACATAGGAGTGTTGGTACCACTATACTTTCGTACATTCCCTTCTTTGCCGCCATGGATAATGTTTTTTTGCCTCCACAGATGCTTAAATGCACCACTCGCCTTTTTTCCTTCATTTCTATGGTTAACCTCATCCTTCATAAACCCATCTGCTGACAAGTCAACTCCTAAATATCTGAAAACATTTACTTCTTCCATACTCCCTTTCTCTAATGTGATAATGTGATGTCCAATTTTTCTTTATCTAAATCGTTTGATACCCTCATTACCTTACTCTTATCTATGTTCACTTTCAGATTTCTATCTTTATACATCCTCTCAAACTCGTCCGATAACCTTTGCAACTTTAGAAGCTCCCATAAGCACAGTATCATCAGCAAGAAAGTAACTGTGTCAATTCCCATTTTGTATTTGATTCCCCATAATTTAATCCCACCCCTCTCCCCAACACCCTAGCATTTACTTCTTTTCCAACCCCCATCTATAAATATATTAAACCATGGTGACATTACACATCCTTGTCTAAGACCTACTATCCCAGGAAGTAATCTCCCTCTCTCTTACACACCCTAACCTGAGCCTCACTAACCTCATAAAAATTCTTTACAGTATTTAGTAACTGACTACCTATTCTATACACTTGCAACATCTGCCACATTGCTCCCTTATCCACTCTATCATATGCCTTTTCTGAATCCATCACTGCAATGAAAACTTCCCTTCCTTTTTCTAAATACTTTTCACATATATACTTCAATGTAAACACTTGATCTACACATCCCCTACCCACTCTAAAGCCTCCTTGCTCATCTGTTCTTGCAATAATAGCCCTACCATACACTTTACTTGGTATACTCAGTAAACTTTTTTCTTTATTAGCGCACTGGCCAATTCCCACCAAGGCAGGGTGGTCCAAAAAAGAAAAACTTTCACCATCATTCACTCCATCACTGTCTTGCCAGAAGGGTGCTTTACACTACAGTTCTTAAACTGCAACATTAATACCCCTCCTTCAGAGTGCAGGCACTGTACTTCCCATCTCCAGGACTCAAGTCCGGCCTGCCGGTTTCCCTGAATACCTTCATAAATTTTACCTTGCTCACACTCCAACAGCACGTCAAGTATTAAAAACCATTTGTCTCCATTCACTCCTATCAAACACACTCACGCATGCCCGCTGGAAGTCCAAGCCCCTCGCACACAAAACTTTTACCCCCTCCCTCAACCTTTCCTAGGCCGACCCCTACCCCGCCTTCCTTCCACTACAGACTGATACACTCTTGAAGTCATTCTGTTTCATCCTATTCTCTCTACATGTCCGAACCACCTCAACAACCCTCCCTCAGCCCTCTGGACAACAGTTTTGGCAATCCCGCATCTCCTCCTAACTTCCAAACTACGAATTCTCTGCATTATATTCACACCACACATTGCCCTCAGACATGACATCTCCACGGCCTCCAACCTTCTCCTCGCTGCAACATTCATCACCCATGCTTCACACCCATATAAGAGCGTTGGTAAAACTATACCCTCATACATTCCCTTCTTTGCCTCCAAGGACAAAGTTCTTTGTCTCCACAGACTCCTAAGTGCACTGCTCACCCTTTTCCTCTCATCAATTCTATGATTCACCTAAAATCTGGAATTCATTACCTGTAAATATAAAAGAAACACTACCTGTTTATAAATTCAAGTCTCTTCTCAAAGATCACTTACTCACCCAAAACCAAATAAATACTGAATAACTGAACCTTATAAATTGTATATCTTAAATGTTTCTCACAATTATATCACATAAATGTTAAACCTAAAACCCAATCTAACCTTATTATTTTTTAAATACACTACCTAACAGAATCACTACCTAACTGAATGCAACCATATGACCTGTCTTTGTAATACTCACTTGTGCTTTATAGTAATCTGTTTACATTAATGTTTTATGACTGATTTCATCATTGCTTAGTTAATCTTAAGTTAATTTTAAGCCAGCCCGTAATGCTATGCATAGTATAAGTGGCTTTGGCATGCTGCTCTTATCTGTATTTTTTTGTACCTCTGTGTGTGTGCTCAAATTGGAAATAAATAAATAAATAAATAAATAAAAAATCTTTCATAGACCCATCCGCTGACACGTCCACTCCCAAATATCTGAATACATTCACCTCCTCCATACTCTCTCCCTCCAATCTGATATCCAATCTTTCATCACCTAATCTTTTTGTTATCCTCATAACCTTACTCTTTCCTGTATTATCTTTTAATTTTCTTCTTTTACATACCCTACGAAATTCATCCACCAACCTCTGCAGCTTCTCTTCAGAATCTCCCAAGAGCACAGTGTCATCAGCAAAGAGCAACTGTGACAACTCCCACTTTGTGTGTGATTCTTTATCTTTTAACTGAGTAAACTTATTCCCCTATAATTTTTACAATCTCTTTTCTCCTCCTTCCTTTTATATAAAGGAACTATACACGCTCTCTGCCGATCCCTAGGTACCTTCCCCTCTTTCATACATTTATTAAACAAAAATACCAACCACTCCAACACAAGACACAGATCTCTTTTTGATATACCTTGTGTCCATATCACACTGTGTAAAAACTCTATGCACATAAAGGGCCCCAAAATATGGAATTCATTACAAGAAGATATTAAAGTAACCCAGTCTGGAAATCAATTTAAGACTCTTCTCAAAAGCCACTTAATCACCCTAGACTAAATGCTAAATACTCAATACAGTACACACACACTCACTTGTGTACTCCCACATCATAACTTCAACGATCACTTTGAACCTTTTATCCATTGTTGACAGGAATATAATTGAATCATTGTTTTCACAAGAAGCAGTTTTGAATATATGAATATATCTTTTGTCTTATACAAATTTTGATTCACTTATAATTAATAATCTACTGTACAACTATGATATAATCCTTAGTGTTAAGTAGTGTGTAAGCCAATAATGTTAAGTTGGCCCATAATGGCTGGGAATAATAGAGGCTCTCTTTGCATTGCAACCCACTATTGTAAATACAGAATCTCAATGTACTGTTTGCAAAGACATAAAATAAATAAATAAAAAAAATAAATATCATCCCCTGCTTTTAACATTTCTGTCATGATCCCGTCAGTTCCAGCTGCTTTACCCCCTTTATTCTACATAATACCTCGCGCATCTCCCCCACATTTGCATCCTGCTTCTCTTCACTCTTAAAAGATGTTATACCTCCCTGGCCAATGCATGAAATTACCGCCTCCCTTTCTTCGTCTACATTTAAAAGTTCCTCAAAATATTCCCACCATCTACCCAATACCTCCAGTTCCCTATCAACTGACTCCCCTACTCTGTTTTTAACTAACAAATCCAGTTGTTCCCTAGGCTTTCTCAACTTGTTTATCTCACTCCAAAATTTTTCTTATTTTCATCAAAATTTCTTGACAGTGCCTCTCCCACTATCATCTCTCCTTTTGCACTCTCACCGCTGTCTTCACCTTTCTTTTACTCTCCATTTATGTACTTGGCTCTTCGTATAACACTTCTGCTTTGTAAATACCTCTCATAAGCTACCTTTTCTCTTTTATCACACCCTTTACTTCATCATACCACCAATCACTTCTGTTTCCTCCTGCACCCACCCTCCTATAGCCACAAACTTCTGCCCCACATTCTAATATTGCATTTTTAAAACTATCCCAACCTTCTTCAACCCCCCCTCCCCCCACTATTCATACTTGCACTAGTCCACCTTTCTGCCAATAGTTGTTTGTATCTCACTCTAACTTCCTTCTCCCTTAGTTTAAACACTTTAACCTTTCTTTTACTTGCTGTTGCCAATTTCCTTTTGTCCCATTTACCTCTTACTCTAACTGTAGCTATAACTAAATAATGATCCGATATATCCATTGCCCCTCTGTGAACATGTACATCCTGTAGCCTACCCATCAACCTTTTATCCACCATTACATAATCTAACAAACTACTTTCAGCAGACCCTTGGGATGCATAATTTTGTCTTATATTGTACAGATTTCTTACACAACGCCTCACCCAAAGAGACAGTATTTACGTACAATCAGCAAGAAGCGATTGGAAACTATGAAAAAAGCCACAGAAGGCAGCTGGCTGCCACCGCCACCACTGTGGCTGCTGCTGCCACCAACACCACTGTGGCTGCTGCCGCCACCAACACCACTGTGGCCACAGTGATCATGTCTTCACCTAAATATACATCCGTCTTGACCACACCTGTGGTTACATGTGTGACAACCTCACCACTAATTGTAGATAAACACAAGCTAGGTGTGGGGTTATGGATTGGGAAGATACTAGAGTGGGAGAGTAAATGGCGGATGCTTTCTGCCACTGCCGGTGTTGCCATCACTTGCCATATTCTGGCCTCTTTTATTCATTCTAGCATTATTTTGTCATGCCTCCTGAGAGGCTGGAATGGATTAATTGCATTTTAATTAATTAAATGAGGAAAATTGACTCGGCATATGAACAACTCAGGATACAAATAAGGTCACGGAACAGATTAAATTCATAAGCCGAGGTTCCACTGTATATCTTTCCTATTAAGTACAGTATTGTTTGTTAAGTGCTAAACCCTTATGGGTCATTCAGCACAAGACACAGTAGAGGCTCAATCCTCCGTCTGCTGAGCGCCAAACAGACGTGCTTAATTGTACTTGCCTACCCCTCTTAGGTACAGTATACTTAGTTGCTTTGAATATTAGGTTATGTATTTAAGCAAAGAACATAAGAAAGAAGGAACACTGCAACAGGCCTACTGACCCATGCGAAGCAGGTTCATGCCACCCCCCTGGCCTATAGCAATGACCACCTAGTCGGGTCACTTCCGCTTAAGGAAGGAGCACAGCACCAGACCTGGTAGCCCTAGCTAGTCAGGTCGAACTCACACTCACCCACACCCACTCGTGTATTTATCCAACCTATTTTTAAAACTACACAAGGTCTTAGTTTCTATGACGGTCCTCGGGAGTTTGTTCCACTCATCCACAACTCTATTACGAAACCAGTGCTTTCCTATGTCCTTCCTGAATCTGAACTTTTCAAACTTGAAACCATTGCTGCGAGAACTGTGTTGGTAGGATAATTTTCAGCACGCTATTTACATCCTCTTCATTTATTCCTGTTTTCCATTTATACACCTCAATCATATCCCCCCTAATTCTACGCCTTTCTAGAGAGTGCAGATTCAGGACCCTCAGTCTATCCTCATAGGGAAGATTTTGGATACATGGGATCAACTTTGTCATCCTCCTCTGTACATTTTCCAGTGCATTTATATCCATTCTGTAATATGGTGACCAGAACTGTGCAGCATAATCTAAATGAGGCCTAACCAAGGATATATAGAGTTGAAGAACAACCTGAGGACTTCTATTATTTATACTTCTTTATATGAAGCCAAGGAAAATATTTTTATTTGTTAATTGAAGCTTTGAAACCCGCAGGCTGTGAACCCTCACATCCCACTGATCAAGTTTCGGAAAGGAGGATTAACAGAATTTGGTAAGTGGAATTGGTCACTATACAGTTTTATTAAGTTTATTGAGGTACAGGTTCACATAAGTGAGTGGTGGTGAAAGTGTTCAATGATGATGGAATTTTTTTTTATTCTTTCTTTTTGGGTCACCCTACTTTGGTGGGAAATGGCCTACACTGTTTAAAAAAAAAAAAAGTTCACATAAGTACAATTATCATACATAGTTTAACATGCATATGTGTAAATTACCAGGATAACCCCAAAAAAAGTCAGTGACTTGTTTCCATTGAGTCCTTGTATTACAGTATCTTAATATGCAATATGATCACAGTAAACAGGTGATTTCAGAATATGCAAAACAACCACTGTGAAAGAATAGAGAAATTCCAAGCGCTTTCGTGACTACTCACATTATCAAGGAACAATAAAAATAATGCATCAAAAGAAGGCATATAAAGGGTCTAGACCACACCTCACTATCACATCCCACAACAAAGCAACACCTGACGTGCGACTCATAAGAAAGGGAACACTGCAGTAGGCCCGCTGGCCCAACTAGACAGGTCCTTCACACAACCCACGAACAAACTATTCTACCCAAGAATTAAGAATTTAATAATACATTGGACAAATAATAAATTTTAATACATATTCTTAATTCTTGGGTAGAATAGTTTGTTTGTGGGTTGTGTGAAGGACCTGTCTAGTTGGGCCAGTGGGCCTACTGCAGTGTTCTCTTTCTTATGAGTCGCGCATCAGGTGTTGCTTTGTTGTGGGATGTGATAGTGAGGTGTTATCTAGACCCTTTATATGCCTTCCTTTGATGCATTACTTTTATTGTTCCTTGATAATGTGAGTAGTCACGAAAGTGCTTGGAATTTCTTTATTCTTTCACAGTGGTTGTTTTGCAATATCTTAATACATGTATGTGGAAAAATAGACACAAATGCAGTATAATATGATCCTTGATTGACTATGTTTTGCCCATAGTGGGCTTTATCAAGTCAGGTCTGTCTGTGACTTGATAAAGCCTACTGTATGGACAAAATTAGTCAATAAAGGATTGCATTATACTGCATTCGTGTCATATTTTTGTGTTGATATTTTATACCATTTACATACAGACCGATAGTGCAAACGTCCCATATCATGAAAATCTTTGAAAGGGTTCTAAGAAGCAAGATCACCACCCATCTAGATACCCATCCGTTACACAACCCAGGGCAGCATGGGTTTAGAGCAGGTCGCTCTGTCTGTCCCAACTACTGGATTACTACAACAAGGTCCTGGATGCTCTAGAAGACAAACAAAATGCAGATGTAATATACACAGACTTTGCAAAAGCCTTTGACAGATGTGACCATGGTGTAATAGCGCACAAAATGTGAAATAAAGGAATAACAGGAAAAGTTGGTACGTAGATGGATCTATAATTTCCTAACAAATAGAACACAGAGTAATAGTTAACAGAGTGAAGTCTGAGGCAGCTACAGTGAAAACCTCTGTTCCACAAGGCACAGTACTCACTCCCATCTTGTTCCTCATCCTCATATCGGACATGGACAGGGATATAAGCCACAGCACCGTGTCTTCCTTTGCAGATGACACTCGAATTTGCATGATAGTGTCCTCCATTGCAGACACTGCAAGGCTCCAGGCGAACATCAACCAGATCTTTAAATGGGCTGCAGAAAACAATATGAAGTTCAGTGATGAGAAATTTCAATTACAATGGACCCTCGGTTATCGGCCGTAATCCATTGCAGAAGGTCGGCCGAAAACCGAAATAATATTTCTGATAAGAATTAATGTAAATACAATTACTGTAATGCGTTCCAGACACCCAACAGTATTCACAAAAAATAGTTTTTGTAAAGATAAATTATAGTTTTACATACACAAAACAATGAGAACTAAATAAAATAAATACATGAACAGTTAAATCACTATTACATACTTTTATTGAAGACTCTTGTTGACTTATGGAAGATAGGGAGGAGGAGAGAGGGAGGATTTATTGTTTGGAAGGGGAATCCCCCTCCATAAGGACTTCAGGTATCAAGTCCCTCTCTGGAGTTACTTCTCTTCTTTGTCTTTTACTGCTACTAGAACCAGCTTGAGAGTCACTGGACCCCTGTCACACAAAAAGTCTGTCCAGAGAGGTCTGTTTCTGGGTTCTCTTTAAGATTTCCCTGAAGTGGGACAAGGTTTTCTCACTGAACATGTTGCAGATATGGCTTGTTTCAGCTTGATCAGGGTTATATTTCTCCATAAACTGACCATGAACTGCTGTACTCCAAATTAATGCACTATGGTATCAGAGGCCACTCCCTCAACTACCTAAAGTCATACCTTAGTAACAGAACTCAATATGTGTATGCAAATGATGCAAACTCTTCCACCCAACCAATCACAGTAGGAGTCCCACAAGGAAGCGTCCTTGGACCACTCCTCTTTCTCATCTACATCGATGATCTACCGAATGCATCACAGCTACTCAAACCCATATTATTTACAGATGACACTACATATGTCTTTTCCCACCCAAACACAGTCATACTAGCAAACACAGTCAATGGTGAATAACAGAAAATATCTGCCTGGATGATGACTAACAAACTTACCCTGAACACTGATAAAATCTATTTCATTCAGTTTGGAAATAAAGCTGCAAATGATCCAATTAACATAACGCTAAATGGATCATCAGTCACAAGACTCACAGAGGGAAAATTTCTAGGTATCCACCTTGACAGTAGCCTTAAGTTCCGGACACACATACAACAAATCACCAAGAAAATCTCCAAGACTGTAGGCATACTATCAAAGATAAGGTACTATGTTCCACAATCAGCTCTCCTGGCACTGTACCATTCACTCATATACCCTTATCTTACATATGGAATTTATGCATGGGGATCAACAACATCCAATCACCTAAAACCCCTAATAACCCAGCAAAAGGCAGCAGTAAGAATAACAAATTCCCACTCCCGCCAGTATACTCCACCAATTTTCAAAAGTCTGAATCTGCTCGCCATTAAGAACATCCATACTTATTCATGTGCCTACTACATACACAGAACAATACATGCAAATATAAACCCTCCACTCAAACTTCTCACCAACCTAAACAGGACACACGACCACAACACAAGACATAGATCTCTTTTTGATATACATCGTGTCCATATCACACTGTGTAAAAACTCTATGCACATAAAGGGCCCCAAAATATGGAATTCATTACCAGAAGATATTAAAGTAACCCAGTCTGAAAATCAATTTAAGACTTCTCAAAAGCCACTTAATCACCCTAGATTAAATGCTAAATACTCACTTACTCACCTATGTACTCCCACATCATAACTGAAACAATCACTTTGAACCTTTTATCCATTGTTGACAGGAATATAATTGAATCATTTTTTCACAAAAAGCATTTTTGAATAAAAATATATCTTTGTATTATACAAATTTTGATTCATTTATAATTACAACTGTACAACTATGAAATAATTACTATCCTACTGTACAACTATGATATACTCCTTAGTGTTAAGTAGACTGTAAGCCAATAATGTTAAGTTGGCCCATAATGCCTAGGCATAATAGAGGCCTCTTTGCATTGCAACCCACTATTGTAAATACAAAATCTCAATGTACTGTTTGCAAAGACAAAATAAATATATAAAAGCTTGCACCCTACTCCACATTGCACAAATCTCCTTAATCTCTGAAGAAAGCACCTCCTTCCCTCCCTCTTCCTCCTCTGAAGCAAGTTCCTCAGCTGTGGTCTGTTGCTGTTCCAGATGAAGCTCTTGCAGCTCTTCAGTGGTTAGCTCTTCCCTGTGGTCCTCCACCAACTCTTCCACATCCTTGCCACTAACCTCCAACCCCATGGACTTCCCCAAAGACACAATAGATTCCACAACAGGCATAGGGTCCTCAGGGTCATCCCCAAACCCTTCAAAATCCCTCTCTTGGACACAATCTGGCCACAATTTTCTCCAAGCAGAGTTCAAAGTCCTGGAAGTCACTCCCTGCCAAGCCTTACCTATAAGGCTTATGCAATGGAGGATACTGAAGTGATTCCTTCAGAATTCTCTTAGGGTCAAATGAGTATCCGAGGTCACTTCAAAGCACCTTTGAAACACTGCTTTGAAGTTGAAGTTTTTTTAAGTTAGAAATGACCTGCTGGTCCATGGGCTGGATGAGAGGAGTCGTGTTAGGAGGCAAGAACTTCACTGTCATAAAACGAAGTCCCTAAACAATTGGTCTTCCAAATCTGGAGGATGAGCAGGAGCATTGTCCAGCACCAGGAGGCACTTGAATGGCAATTTACGTTCCAGGAAGTATTTTTTCACACTTGGGCCAAACATATCATTAAACCACTCTTTGAAAATGTGTCTTGTGACCCATGCCTTATTATTAGCTTTCCACATCACACACAATCTATTCTTCACAACATTGTTTTTCTTGAACACTCGGGGATTTTTAGGGTGATTCACCAGTAAAGGCTTCACTTTGAAATCTCCACTAGCATTAGCACAGAACAAAAGAGTAAGCCTGTCTTTCATAGGCTTGTGTCCTGGTAGTGCCTTTTCCTCCTTCATAATGTAGGTCCTCCTTGGCATTTTCTTTCAAAAGAGACCTGTTTCATCACAATTGAACACTTGTTGGGGAGGAATCCTAGAGCCTCTACGTACCCCTTGAATTCCTGCACGAATTTTTCAGCAGCACATTTGTCAGAACTTGTAGCCTAGCCATGCCTTACCACACTGTGTATGCCACTATGCTTCTTAAATCTCTCAAACCAGCCTTTGCTGGCCCTAAATTCACTAACAGCAGCACTTGTTCCAGGCATTTTCTTTACAAGATCCGCATGCAACTGCCTTGCCTTCTCACAAATAAGTGACTCCACAACACTATCTCCCACTAATTGTTTTTCGGTGATCCACATAAACAGTAACTTCTCCATATCTTCCATTATTGGTGACCTTTGTTTCGTTAGCACATTTACTCCTTTTGCAACATTATCTTCCTTGATTTCTACTTTCTTTGCCACGATAGAAGTGATTGTTGATTTGTTTTTCCCATACATCCTGGCAAGTTCCAGCACCCGCACACCACTCATATTTTTCAGTAACTTCTTTCTTAAATTCCATAGTGTTTCTCACTTTCTTTACCAAAGGAACTATAGTAGGAGCTTTCTTTGGGGCCATGGTTACTTATTTCGCCGTTGCGCTTAATAACCACAAAAACAATGGATTATAGCGAAATGTTTGGATGAATGATCAGAAGCTTCCTCACTTGCCCAGACACACAGCCAGACTGACGCGTGAGCGGCTGGTGGCAACGGCAGGTTGATGCAACCCATATGGCCAATAACCGGAAGTTGAAAAACCAGCCAATAACCAAGTTGGCCGATAAGCGGAACAGCCAATAACCGAGGGTCCACTGTACTCCGATGTGGAAAACATGAGGAAATTAAAACTTCATTGGAGTATAAAACAAATTTCAACCACACAATAGAGCGAAAAACTAATGTCAAAGGCTTAGGAGTGATCATGTCAGAGGATCTCGCCTTCCAGGACCATAACATTGTATCAGTTGCATCCGCTAGTAAAATGACAGGATGGATAATGAGAACCTTGAAAACTAGGGATGCCAAGCCCATGATGACACTCTTCAGGTTGCTTGTTCTGTCTAGGCTGCAATATTGCTGCACACTAACAGCACCTTTCAAGGCAGGTGAAATTACTGACTTTGAAAATGTAAAGAGAACCTTCACTGCATGCATAACTGCAATAAAACACCTCAATTACTAGGAATGCTTGATCTTCCTCAACCTGTACTCCCTAGAATGCAGGCAGGAGAGATACATTATATACACTTGGAAAATCCTAGAGGGATTAGTACCAAACTTGCACACGAAAATCACTCCCTATGAAAGCAAAAGACTCTGCAGATGATGCAACATCCCCCCAATGAAAAGCAGGGGTGCCACTAGCACGATAAGAGACAACACCATTAGTGTCAGGGGCCCAAGACTGTTCAACTGCCTCCCAGCATACATCAGGGGGATTACCAATAGACCCCTGGCTGTCTTCAAGCAGGCACCGGACAGGCACCTAAAGTCAGTATCTGACCAGCCAGGCTGTGGTTCGTCTGTTGGATTGCATGCGGCCAGCAGTAACAGCCTGGTTGATCAGGCCCTGATCGACCATGAGGCCTGGTCACAGACCAGGCCGCTGGGGCATTGACCCCTGGAACTCTCTCCAGGTATACTCCAGGAATACCAGGGACTAGATGTTGTGGTGATGACAGTTCTGTGATGCTCTGCCCTGCTCTACACCTACCACCAGTTCTGCAACCTGCACAGGATTGGCTTTTGGCTCTGAGTAATGTGTGGTCCTCTCATTTGTTTAGAGGATAATAATATTACTATGTAAATGGAATAATCCTTTAATTGTATTTTCTTGTCAGTTCGTGGTTCACCTCGACCTCTAGCTGCTACTGGCCCTGTTACCGCAGGATCCACCTCACCTACCCGTTCTTCAGTTGTGCTAGAAGAGTGGCAGGTGCCACAAAAATATCGTAGAGAGCGAATTACCGATGAAGAAATAGAGTATATAAATGTAAGTTACGTTTATTTTTGAGCCAGTAAATCTATTCTGTGGTGATTTCATTTAATAAGGTGATGATAATCTGGGTATTTTCTGAAAAAGAACAAAAAGGCACAATACCATGACTGGAACAGTATGCAAATAACGTGCATATAGGAGAGAGGAGCTTACCACGACGTTTCGGTCCAACTTAGATCATTTACAAAGCCATACAGCATGTGACTTTGTAAATGGTCTAAGTTGGACTGAAACATTGTCATAAGCTCCTCTCTTCTATGTGCAGGTTGTGTATGGGTACTGTCTATATCCCTTCCTAATTATAAAATGTGATTTCACAAGCTTGTCTCTTTCATTTCAGAGAGGCGGCCCCGCATAATAGAGATGAAAGTTTGTTTATAATATTTTTTTCTGTATATACTGATTGCAGTTGTAATGTTAAGTATTGCCTTGTTATCCTTTTATCCTAAGAGTATTGAAATAAATTAATGTATGCTCTCTTGTGTGTTTTACATACTTTTTTAGGAGTAAGTATCCAAGAGAAGGGGACAGAGGCTTTAAATCTACCTCTTGTGCCCCTTATGGGTTTAGTGTTTCCCTATGAAAAATATAATGTCAAGATGGGTTTGCACTGAGACATGGGCATTTGGTGCCAAGATACTTACCATTACAATCCTTGGGTGTAATAATTTACCTAATGTTTCACTAACACACTTGGTTAAATTCATCATACAGTATTTTATCTACAGAGTACGTATTTCATTTTTGTATAATGTCCCAAACAGCATTCACCTACAAAATTTATTCATCCAATAAAAGCACAAAAAATGTTATAGAAATCCACAATAACAATATATGATAATTTATTCAAAGCTCTTATAAATATATACAGTATATAAATATGTAACTTACATGAATTTCTTAAATTTTTCTGTTACTAAATTACCAAACACCTTACATTATTTCATAAAACAAGATTTCCCAAGCACCTTACAGAATTTCATAAAACAAGATTTCCCAAGCATTTTAGAGCATTTAATGTAAAACTCTCAAACCATTCATAATAGATTTATATTTACTCTAACACTGTTTGGTTACCTGAGAAAAGATATCAGGCCTGGAGGTTATCAGATACTGTAAAGGGTAACCATGACACACGAGGTACTACATGATATAAAGTGCAAAAATAACGTCTTCTGATGTGCAGTTAGTAATGTCAAGAAAGACATTGCAACAGACTGCAGTGATATATACTGTATATCACATTCCTGATATGCACATACAGTATGTATTGTTTAATCAAGACATCAACAATATCATTTGTCTTTCTAAGGTACAGTAATATTTACATCTGCCCTAGAGGTATGACTTGCTCATACAATTTGTATTTTCAGGTAATAATGTAAAGTAATGAATTCCAATGCCAATTTTGCCACTGTCTCCTATAATGTGGGAGCTTGATGCCACTCTGTAAGGATTATTAGGTTATTGTAATTGTCAAACATATATGGATAACTTCTGTTCATCAGACAGCACATCAAATTCACTTCAAATGCCATTTTCATTGAAATAACTTAAATACAGTACTTTGTCTGCCCTTTTCTTTGATGGTCCCATCTTCAATGAAGACACTGCTGGCAATACCTGGCATCCAACAAATTATAGCAAAAAGTCTTTCAAAGAGGGGGGAGGGGGGAAGTGTCCCTTGATAGTGAGATAGTGAAGGACTCTTGATTTGAAGATCTGAAGTTACCCTCCCTTTTCCTGGATTAAACCTGATTG